AACTGTGCCACAGCAAATTTTTTTAGAAAGTTCGTGCGGGGCAGTGGGACAGCTAGTTTGTCCTCGCAGTCCTTCAATGGGTAAATAGAAATTTCTGTACGGTCAGTGAGCTTTGATCGCAGATCTTCATGGGCAAGACTATTAAGTGATTATAGACCACAGTTTCCGTTTGCAGTTTCCTAACTTAGCCCTAACCCCTAAAACCTTTTATCACAGTGTAATACACGGACTGGGCTTCTTTTAATATTTGTTAAATAAATTTCCAGTATTTTGAATTAGTATTCACAACCTTCATATACTACTGCATCCGTTCTGCACGACCGTAGTGCGGGCTTCGCTATTATGGGTACGGCGTCTAGTGTTAATTGACAGAATCAGCTGAACAATTTGAAAGGCTTCGAAACTTAACAAAAGGTTCAAAACAGTTGCTGTATGAGTTACAGCTGCAACGTCTGGTCACAAGTTGTATATCAAAAACTTCACGTGAAGTATCTTGTTCCAAGGTTGAAAATAAGAAACAGAAAAAAACAAACAAACAAACAAACAAACAAACAAAGAACAAGAAAAGCCTTGCGTGACTTGTAGCTTCAAGAACTAACATAACATATGCGTGCCACAGGCTTGATTTCTTTCCATTGTTTTCCATTGCTTTCCATTGTTTTGGATTATTATTCAGCGTCTTAATTATGAACATCGGTCCGCTCTTTTGGTTTCACAGCAATGAGTCTGCTTTTGACATTCTCAGACGTGAAGTCGAAAGGTGGATTTCCAACCTTGCTTAAAAACCGTTGAATTCTCACTTCCGTGACTAGATTTAGATCAAAAACTCCATGTGAACTCGACCATAACCACTTTAGGAAAACCTCCGCGCTCTCACAAACAAGCTTTATGTTATTAGCGTAGTAGCTTTTCACGATCTCAAATCCTTCTGTCGCGCATATGCGATCCACATTGTCCTTGTCAACAAAAAATATTTCCTTACCTCGTTCTTTGATTCGCTGTTTAATCTCAGGAAACAACTCTTCAAGCGCAGTCGCCATGAAGGGATGCAAATGGTCTGTG